GACAAGCACACACTCACACGCCCGAATAGAACTTTGCAAGTAACATACTCCCGTGCGTCGCAGTCGTCAGATGAGGCCACTAGAGATGAGGGCAGGTCCTTGCGTACACAGAGCATGGCTCGGCTAAGTCCATTTAAACGCTGTGATTTGTATGTTACATAATTTGAAAGACGAAAATCATCATTTACTCTGGCCTCTGAGAGAGCCAAAATAGGAAATTGGTATTGGGCAATGAAATGACGGAAGTCACCGCTTTTTGAGCGTAATCCGTTTGCATTCCATTGAAATATGGCAGTTGTTTCATATAACTTATTCATAAGGTTGAGTTTGGAATCCCCGTGATGCAAGGGTAATCAGAGGTTCCATCGTTAGGAGAGTTTGTACCTCTTGTACATTTCGGATGTCCGGAAATGATCGTAAGATTGCTTTTAACGCAGCGAATACAAGTGGAAGGATGATCTTCTCCAAGCTATCATTTTCTGATTGTATGTTCCTCGTAGTCGTACCACCGTCGTTTCTGCTCGCACGTTTTCTCCGAGGTGAAGGTATAGGTGAAGTGACAGTTTGCTTTGGTCGAGTTTCCTGTGCGTCCGGAGCTTGGGTTTTTTGACGCACTTGACTTTTCAGTGGGTTGCTTGTCAAAACTGTAGAGTACGTTCCCTTCGCCCCTTGTATGTGGGGAAAGTGCAATGGGTCTTGAAGACTTGGAACTGGAGTTGTGCGAATCATCTTTGGATTGGGCGGAGGCGATCGTCTCTTTTGTGGTCTTCCTTCTTGCAGTTCCTGTTTCCTCGACAGAGACGCAGTTTTCTTACTTGGGCATCCTCCGTACGACGCTGCATGGGGTCCAGCGCAATTCGCACAAAGAGGAGATTGTTTTAAACCGCATTCTTTATGGTGATGCGATCCCGCGCAAACTTTACACCGCTGCGGTCCCCGGCAGTACTTGGCAATGTGACCATGTTTCTGACAGCGGAAACACTGCACAGCTGTTCCAAAGTACTCTTGGACTGGATGGCTTGTAAAACCTAACATTACCCGGGTTGGTAGTGGCTTGTCTGGTCGGAAGTGAAGCATCACGCTGTCATGATATATTGTGTCTGTGCTATCATCGTCTTCACGCCGGTAGTAGGACGCCTGGCGTCGGAGTGAGAGCACCCCGAAGTCCTTCAAGAACTCTAAGAGTTCTTCTTCTGTATATTCCAGAGGAACTCCCGTGATTTTTCCGATATTCCTGGAGTAGGACTTGGGGACTGTGGCTGTGCATGTAACACCAACCAGAGTGGTTATGGCCAGGAGTTTGTTGACTGACGCAAGTGATGCCACATTGACCACCAGGCTTCCGTCCTTGGTGAAGCGATGCGCGATCAGTTTCTCTTGTGACACTGCGAGGATTTCTGAAGCAATTGCGTTCGGATTTAAACTCCAGAACGATGATCCAGGGTTTGTTGGTTTGATCAGGATTGGAATCCCTGAGGGGCGATCTTTTTTATAAGAAACGAAGGTGAATGGAGTGCCTCCTTCTTCGATGCTCTCCATCCCGCTTATCGAGTAGTTCGAGGTTGTGTCCTCGTAATAGTCCTCCGTACCTGTACGTGGTCTTTTTGCTGCATGATCAGCGATTGGATGTGCGTCTTGCGTACAGCCGATGGGTCCAGTGTCTCTCACTTGCTCACTTTGGTCGGCCGTTAGGCCTCCTAAAGTGCCAGGGCTTGCGGAATTCATTCTTGGTATTCTCGGGCGGGAGATCGCCCGTCGGCGCCTGTAAACGCTGCTCCCTTGCTCAGACGTTGTTTTTTCTTAATATCCGGTAAATAAAAAGGTATCAATATTATGAAATAATTAGAGAAAAATCGAAATATAAGCAGGAGCCAAAGGAAGAGTGGACTTGCCTGCCAACTTCGTCGTCGTCTTTTTCCTCATATTCTCAAATCTTGGGCAGCAAATTTTCTTCACCGCATTGTTTTTTCTTACGTTTTCGCGATAAAACACGTCAGACTTGCCATGTTGGGATAAAATACACTAGCGTCGGCCGTCATTTAGGAAGGAATAATCAACACAAACATTTCCACTCGTTATTCATGAATTGCCGCAGTTCGTCAGAATCTCAATGACTTGACTGCATAGTGAAAAAGGCAAAAAAAAAAAATAAAACGATGCCGGTCAGTAAACGGATCTTCCATGTCGGGGCTCGCCAGTTTGAACAGCAAAGCGCCGATGCCGGCCAGTCCTCGAACTTCCATGTAAATACTGGCCATCAAAGGATATATTAGCTTTCACTTCACAAAATACTTTTAATTTTTGTGATTCTTTTCTGTTCAGATAAATTCTGGATCACGTTAATATGAAACATACACTTAACGCCAATGTCAAACCTCTCACATTTGTTTTTCTTTGTGTTGTCTCAAAATTGTCACTTGCGACACGTTTCAGACTGAATGAATACCAGGTTTTCTTTTCCGCCAGCTCTGCATGACAGTCAATTTACCTCGTTTATTCATACTGGCTACTGCATGTCAGGAAAATCGGTGGTTTTGATAGAACCGAATTGGATGGACATATGAGAATTCTAACTTATTAGTTATTACACTGAAGGCGACACATACTGATACATGTAGCGATGTAGGAGTGTGACAGATTTAGAAATAGACTTTTTTATTATCAGCACGACCACTGATTCCAACTCATTATCCTTAATTTTAAAGTTAGATTGAACGGAAATGTATTACCAGATTCACCACTCGCTGAAAGTAACTCTGTCAAATCGCCACGATATTTCATGATCCCTCCTCCAAGTCATACCTGAGAAAAACTTTTTTTTTTCGGCTAATATTGGTTACAACCGGTTACCGGTAAATACTTTACGGTTACGGTTACGGTTACGGTTACGGTTATGTTTTTTTTTTTTAAATTTCAAATAACAATTTTGTTCCGATTATGGTTACTGAAAATTTTCGTTCCTAAATGGTTTTCAGTTTCGGTTACGGTTACGGTTCGAGTCCCTGCTTTGCGTACCTATATTGATGAAAGCCCTTGAAAGTGCCTGCATGTGCACCATTATAAAATGTTGAACATTCAGGCATAAACAAGGAGACCGCAGGAAAGCTATCTAAGATACTGAAATTACACTTGATGCTGTGACATCAAATTAGATCTTGTTTTTGTTTGTTGTTATGTGGAGAAAATTATGTGAAAAAGGTTATTTGACAGTTATCAAGCAATTTTTTTAAAAAATAATTAAGAAATAATAAAACATAGTTCAAGCATAATAATGAACAAGTATTGCAGAGTGAATAAAAAAAGCTAGATGGAATTAGATGGCGATGACTTGCGCAAAAAACGCCTTGATGTCACCTTTTTGGCACCGCGTATCAGCTCGCTGTCTTCTGCGGTCTGAGCTCTGATCGACGCAGCCCGTACGGTATCGGGACGGATTGTTTGCAACTTAATGCTTCAACCATACGCATGAAAGTCTTCGGCAGCAGGCGGCTAATCCGATTTTCTTTTGAAAAAGATATGGCAAAGTATGGTTTGTGCAAAGCGGATATTTTCAGTCTAGACTTTGTCCAATTTGCCTGTTAACCGAATTTGGCAAAGAATGGTTTGTTCGAACCGCATATTGTGTGTCTAGAATTCCTTCAATTGTACTTTTAACCGGATTCCAAAAATCACAGTTTCTGCGAACCGATTAGGAAAATCAGGGTTTGTGTGAACCGGAATTTGTCTGTCTGGAATTCCTCCAATTTGACTTTGAAGCAGATTAGGAAAATCACGATTTGTGTGAACCGGAATTTGTCTGTCTGGAATTCCTCCAATTTGACTTTGAAGCGGATTAGGAAAATCACGGTTTGTGCGAACCGGAATATGTCTCTCCGGAATTCCTCCAATTTGAGTTCGAAACGGATTAGGAAAATCACGGTTTGAGCGAACCGGGATTTGCCCGTCTGGAATTCCTCCAATTTGACTTTGAACCGGATTAGGAAAATCACGGTGTGAGCGAACCGGAATTTGCCTCTTCGGAATTCCTCCAGTTTGACTTCAACCGGATTTGAAAATTCACGGTTTGTGCGAACCGGAAGCCGCCTTTCCGGTGTGACTCCGGTATGATTTTAGTCCGGATTTCACTTTCCGGACTAATTTCCAACCGTTATTTTTGCTAGGGCTCGCTATTCCACGTGGCCAAAATTCCACGTGGCTAATAAAACGCTTTTTTCCGACCAAGTCGCAGAGCGGCTAAGCGTCGCCCAGCCCCCTATAGACGGATACGCTGTTTACAAGCAAGTCAGCGTTTGCCCACACCAGGTACGGCCACTGCCCATGCTCAGAAACGATATTCGCCTGAAGTTGAGCTTCTTCTCACGCTCCGTACCGACAGCAGCTCCACCGCCGTGGCGTAACATCAGAGGCGGACGTCGATCTATTAAAGAGATGAATGACTGAATGAATGAATGAATGTTTATTTTTCCGGAATTAACCGAAATCGAGACAGGGACTAAAGGCGCGAAGCCTGACAAGTGAGTCAATCACGCTAAAAGCTTGTTCAGTCCGAATAAGGGGCGGATTTAAGAGAACCGAGTGTATACGGTTGAACTAAGACAATGTATACGGTGGGAAACATAGGGAGAGGAGGAGAAGAAAGCATGCGATGGGCGTCAGAGCGCCGATCTCTGATTGGAAGGATAGTGGGTAGACGCTAGGGCTAGCTGCCTTTGTCTATTATACCCGCTGAGTCAAATCCAATCTAAACCTCCAATCCACATTTGAGGCTTCCTGATTGGTTCAATCAGATAGTAACGTCGACTGCAATCGGACTTAAAGTGAAACAGAGCATAGACCTCCTCTGCGCTATTGGATTCAAACTACTATTCGCACACCCATGCATAATAGTTTTAACATCGGCGCCAACATTTTCAGTTCAACAGGCTTTTTTTTTTTTTAATATTAAAGTGGTTTTACGATTTGCATCATAGCCGGAAGACGACTTCTTCGTTTTCATGCAGGGATCGGCAAGGAGACGGCCCGGGAGCTGGCCAGGCGGAACGCACGAGTGATCCTGGCATGCCGGAACCAGGAAAAGGCTCGCGAAGCAGCCGAAGACATTCTCAAGACCACGGGCAGACAAGTGGTCTGCATGAAGCTAGACCTGTGCTCCTTCGATTCTGTTAAAGAGTTTGCTACTCAAGTGATCGCGTCGGAGGATCGCCTGGATGTTCTCATCAATAACGCCGGCATGATGTGTGAGTTGACGCATTTACGATTTTGTTTTCAACAAAAGTATGCAGGCACAGCACTAAGGCCTCTTCAGAAGCAGCCTAAATTCTTTGATTATATGGGCCATTTTATAAAACAGTGAGCATGGGGAAAAAAAGCATGAGATATGTGCGCTTCGACAACAGAAAATTAATTTAATGCACGAATAGCAACTCTTGCCTTGGAGTGTACCTGGCTGTGTTTAATTTAGTCGATCATGTGGTGCCATGTGTCATTATAAAACTTTTGCATGGAGTAGAGCATGAAGCACTTGATTCAAGAACCACGCATTCCTTAGAATACTTCAATTTAAAATAGTGGCATGTTAGTTTGCTGGTCTATATTGAGGTGCGATGCTCTTACAAGAGAGGAAAGCAGACGCTTTCCTTTCTATGTAGCGGTGTTATTTTTTCAAAGCTGCATTACGGATGCCAGAGGGTTTATATTCGAGGTAATTTGCATTGGAGTTTAGACAGCGTACACTTGTACCCCATTCAAACGATCATAAAGATACCTTTAGCTAAAGGACCCTTATTCTTCCCAACGAATATTTTCGCGAACCTCCGCGCGTGACGTGTGCTCGCGACCCTGCAGCGCGGATTGATTCCCCGGTTGCAAAGAGACTTATGTTCAAGGTACATTCATGCTGGCTGTGTGAATAGGGTATTAAGCCCAGTTGACACATACAGCGGAGCGCTCAGTTAGCGCTTTATGAGCGTTGGAAGCTGCGCTCTTGTGGAACTGACTTGCGCGTGACGTAGCGCTTGGTCAGCGCTTCAGAATCGCTTCAGTGGGTGTATTGTTAGCGCTTCAGCAGCGCAGTGTATGCGCTCTCACGCTCCTTGTGCCGTGCATTCTTAGGAAAAAGGGTCAGTATAGTCCTCCCTAAAGGGAGGAACGCTCTTGACACATATGTTCCTTCAGAAAGGGGGAAACTTTCGTGCCTTAAGCAGGGGAGCAAAAGTTCCTCCGTCGACTGCATCTCATTATGGCGGCCACGAATCGAGCAAATCGAGCTCGATAAGGCTTAACGAGAACACTATGTCTATTGTACGAAGCGAGAGGAGCAGCAAATAAAAACGTAACACAAGCTTTCCGCGAACTGTATTTATTTCCGAAGTTTCTTTACCCCTGCAGGTAAAGAAACTTATGTTTCGAAAACATGCAGTCACTCAGTCTTCTCATCATCAGCACTGCGATGTTCAACAGAGACAACCGGCACCCAGTTCGCGCACTTTATGTCTTACCTTTGCTAGTCCTCGAGCCGCAATTCCTTCGTCAACCGTTGCGTCAACCGCACATCACAGAGGAGTGAAAATCATTCGCCCGCAAAACCAAAAGCCGCTCTCAAGAAAAAGCAAATCCGAAGCAACCTGTTGGCTTAGCTCAGCACAGCAACACGAAATTATGGCGTAGCCGCGTAGCGTAAAAGGATGTTAAATCGCTTGCCACCAGATGGCAGGGTCAAGCAGAGTAATCGCAAGTAGCTAGGCTAGGTGGCGCTAGGTACCGCCCAATTCATGTTTTACAAAAAAATATTTTTATTTTCTTACGCCACAATTGCGTTTCCTTTTCAGGCGGGAACACATTTGCGAAAAAACGAACCGAAAATCGGAGAGAAATCGGAGGCTGCGAAAATCGCAGCTTGCGATTTTCGGAAGACGAGCCACATGAGGTGGAATGCGCGGCGCGGAAATCGCAATGCACTGCGGTTTTCGTGCTCCGACTTCAGGAGGCTGTGCGGTAGTCTGGCGAACTGGCGTCCCATATCTCGCGCCTCTTAAAAACTTCAGCTATTAGAACCTCGTTGAATGCCACGCGAGCCTTTGTACCGCCACCCTTTGCTAAAGACAGAAGGGGTTTTCTACGAAGGTTGAGACGAGAACGCAAGGATGGCATACGATGTTGCCTGCGCTGCTTCTGAAGCTGCGTGAGCCGCCATGTTGCGAGCCCATCGTATCTCTTCGTTCCGTCCTGTTCCGGGCTTTCGCTCACCGAGCTCCTCCGCCCCGAATTCGGAGGCGCCGTGCGAAAATATCTGGCGCTGCAGATCTTCCGAACCGCTCCCGATTTTCGGAAAAGGGGAGGAGCCTAGCTGCCGTGCGATTTTCGTGTGCGGTTTTCGCATAAAATTCGGCTTTTTTTCGCAAATGTGTTCCCGGCTTTCTTCGGGAATCTCTAACCTATGTAGACACGTTACGCTCACTACAAGCATCAGGTGAACATATATTGAGCGCATACACAGGCATCGCACATACAAACATCAATACAACAGCACACTACCCCGATCACTACTCCCGTGCTCTGCGTTTCCGTCTTTTATACTGGTCGTTTTGAACGTACGGAATTTATCGATTACTCCCTAAGCAATAAAAAATATTCCGAACATGTTCATTTTTTTTCCAGCAATGTCATACATCTGAATCTATTTCTAATGGCTCAGGGGATAAATCTCTTATTAAAAAGAAAACGCTCGATCATGCCGTAATTAATTGAAAGCCAATAAATCGAGCCACTCCAATGTGGTTCCAAGCCATGAGTTTGTTTTCCCGCACGGCCCTTCGTAGCCAGTATTTATATTGTAGTGTTTGTTTTTCTATTTGCGCTGCTCGCGCACGGCTGCAATTGCCGTCTTGAATTAATCTTTGTAGAGCGGATATTCACTCAGCTGGAAGTGATGCTTTAAGGGCAGAGAAATCGCTTTTCGATCAACTTGAATGCAGTCAAAGCCGCGACTTGCGGCAACTGTTAAGTGTACGGAGCTACGCCGTAGCGAGCTCGAAAACTTCTAGCGCTCATCCCAGCGCGCCACTTGGAGGGCCGTTTCTGCAGGAACCGTAATATATTTAAACAGTAAAATAAAGGATAGCGTTTTTTTTCCAATTTTACCTGTTTTTTTTATGCTAAACTTCCATTGTAAATATACGTACTTTCCGTCATACTTTCGTACTGTTCAGTCTTTTCCCCAGAGCGCAATCACTCTCGGGGACCGACAGTCACATTGGCCACTGTACGATAGGAGCTTACCGTTCAGACCAGCGTTCCAACATGACTATCCACACGCCGATCGACTGCACCTAATCCCTCAATTGGTTTTAAACTCTTTAATGTAAAGCGGAATGTCATCCTGCGACACCCCGCCCCCTCCGACCACGGCCCGACCAGCGGCATCAATGCCCGACAGTTTACGTTATCTCATCTTGTTACACCACTGATACGCGAACACACGGTCACATCGGCGATAATTCCAGTCTTCTGTTCACAACCCACAACACTCCCATCACGATGTCGCTGACACGCAGATATACAGAACCACGTTGACGATGTTGCTGACACGCAGAAATACAGAATCACGTTGAACGCCAGTTGGCACTCGGCACGGGACAACACAACCGAACTCAGCGCGGAAGGCATCCAGGCAGCCGGCAGGAAAACCTGCCTGCCTTGGACGCAGTTCCCGCGATTTCCGCAACGTCGAAAAAACGTCGACACAGTCCCTCGTGGTTTCACCATAGAGTAATATACACAAGGTAAAGAGCGGACACTGCCATAGGCCCCAGCGGCCCAGATAGATCAGTGACAGGTAGCGCTCCTAGTGGGCGGTATTAAGCATAATCTGATTCCGTTTCCGGTCAAGTTAGTTTCGGTTTTGGTTTGGGCGTTTCTGCTCCGGTTCTCCGGTACCCCTCTCTCTTTCCTCCTCGCCTCGCTCGGCTCTCGGGACTCCCGAAGCCGCTGTTTTTTTTTTTAATACTGACGCACTTTTGCTTTATTTTTTACGATAGAGTCCGTGCAAAATGTGTCAAACAATAGTTCAACTTACTTCACAAAGCAGAAGTATATATGTTTCTTGTCTTTTTCTATTGTAAAGCATTGAAGTTACACAATCGCCGCATTGACTCCTGACTGATGGAGCATTTTGGGGTCAACAACAGTAAGTGGTTCGAATACATTTTATTGGACCACATTCATGTATACATTATCTACTTCAGAAGCTCTGTATGTTTTATACGAAAGAGGTCGATACTCGCAAAAATAAATGACTATGAAGGACGTCAGCATATCGTGCACTTCGTAATAAATTCTTAGCGGAACCAAGTTAAAAACCTTTTCCACGGAGAACATGCTGTATGATACATTCACTTTCACGCCGACTCGGGTACGGGAAGTAAGTGCAAAAATAAATAAGACATCGCTATCATTACCAGTCATAAAAGTATAATAACAGTGCGAAGCACACGCCGGATAGTACAAATTCCGCGATTTCCGGCAAATATAAAAAACACCAAAATGCATAGCCTCAAACTCACTGCGGGCGAGCCATTAACAAGCAATGAGAACTCTATTCGAAATCTGACAAGATTCAACGTCCCTAAACATTCCCCGATATTGTTCAGAAAAGAAATATGGCTTCAGAAAAAAGCGGCTAAAAATCTATGGACAGTAGATACAAAAGTGGATACATTTTCTTTCAAATATTTTTAGCCTCTATGCACAATTTTCTGTCGAAATTTTGTAGAAAGTGGACAAATATTTTTGTTAGGGAGCCGTGATACACATTCGCTGGAAAAATGGGAAACAAATGTTTGGAGAGCAAGCTGCACCGCCCACTTAATAAACACTTTTTGTTTTTGGTTTCGCAACCGCCTCTGTTAATACACTATTAACAGTTAAACCTGTCTCGTTGCTTACTAGCCACTGAAGAGTGCAACCGAACTTTGTCCGAATTCCGGTTAAGAAATCAAACATGTCAACACAAGCGTATTCTGCAAAACAATTTTAAAAACCTTTTGTGGTACTCCTCTGGGCAAAGGCTAAAACCACCCAGACCTCAAAGTGTGCTATACAAGGCGGCACACACTCCTTGAAAATGTGCCACACTCTCTATTATGGAAAGAAAGTGATTTTCCAGTTGCTGAATGAAATGAAAGGCAGCCTGTGGTGGTACCACTAAGTTCCCGAAGAATTTTCCAGGCACGTGGTATGC